TATATTTAAAATATGTTTCTTCTGGACTGTATATTGTTGGGTTTTGGTTCTTAAAATCTCTCTGCTTTGTAGTTGGAATGTATAGCCCATTTACACTTAGTGTAATTATTGATGTGGTCAGGTTTAGTTTGCTATCTTGCCTTGCCTTTGACCTTTTTTTTTGTTATTGATTCTCTGTTGTGCTTTGCCTGTGGCCTTTAGGGCCATTGAGTTTCTTTTTAGTATTCCTCTATTGTTTTTTTATGTGTACATCTGTGTACAATATGGACCTTTCACTTATCAAACTTTGTACTTCCTAACTCACAGTTCTTATTTCCCATCTCTCACATCATACCTTAACATTTCCCCGTTTCCCCCTGACTCTTACCATCTCCAACTTCTTGCTTCCCACTTCCAATTTCTCACTTTGAAGTTCACAGTTATGAGAACCTAACAGCAGATTCCTGGTGTGGTGCTGTGGGCTAATGCATCAGACTACAAAGTCGTTTGACCTGCAAGGTTGGTGGTTCAGGCTCACCTCCTTTTCCTTGGAAACCCTATACAGGGTCGCTATGTGTTGGAATCAACTCGATGGCACTTAACCACAACAATAGCAGATTAAGTGCATTCATTTCCCCCTTCTCTGTGGTATTTTTATTTCTTTTACCTCCAGACATGTTACATTGTTATACGTCACATTATTTTTGCTATAAGTAGTCACTTGTCTTTTAAAAAAAATATGAAACTAATAAAAAAGTAAAATTTTATATTTATTCTTTTATTGATCATCTCTTTTGTTCTTTATTTGTTTCTGTAGCTCTGAATCTCCTTTCAACTGGAGATTTCAACCTTTTAGTATTTTTTGTAGTGCATGTCTGTGGGTGACAAATTCTACTGTCTTGCTGATTTGAAAAATGCCTTTATTTTAATTGTTTTTAATAGCTACCTTCTGCTGGTTGTAGAATTCTGGGTTGTTGGTTCTTTTTGTGTTTTCCATTCCTTTGCAGCGAGTCCCTATCTTGTCTCTCATTGTTTCTTTAATTCACTGGGCTGTCTCAGAGTTGTTTTTTCTTGACTGCTTTCGTACTTGACCTTGGGTTTTGTTTTCCTGAGTATTTATATGTCTAGAAATTTCGGAGTACATCCTGGCTATTATGAGTGACACATTGTAGGTGCTAAGGATTCTGTTTTATTCCTCTGAAGAGGCAGTTCTGTTATTGACTGATTATCTTCAACTTGTGTAGGTGTGTTTTCATGCTTTGTTGTGACAGATCTTTGGAAAGCCCAGTGTGTTTCCATTGTAAACTTGATGAGCGCCACTGGGTCGCCCCTGAAGATCTTGTTGTGACTTAGCTTTAGACCTTGATTGGGCAGGGTTCCTGGTGTGGCGCTGTAAAATAAGCACTGGACCACAAGGTTGGTTTGAACTGCAAGGTCAGCGATTCAAACTCACCAGCCACTCTTCGGAATCCCTATACAGGGTCACTATTCAGAGTTGCTATGAGTCTGAATTGACTCCACTTAACAAAACCAACAGAACAGCGTGGAGCATAGGCTTCCTCTAGGGGGTGGTCTTTCTGGTTGGTCAGGGTGCTGTGGATGTCAATGAGGTCTCTCTGTTGGGGATGGACAGAAACTGCAGTTCATCACTGATTGGTCTTTGGCACCTCTCTGGCTTTTAGCCCTACAGTAACTGTTCTTTGCTAAGCTTTGAGTCATTTCACCCCGTTCATGTGCATTCCAATGCTTGGCTAACATCTCATGGGAAAGCCCACACAAACTTCAGCCCCTGTTACTTGGGCTCCCTCCTCTCCAATGCCTTATCCTTCTGATTCTGCTCCTTCAGCAGCTCTGAGGTGGGGTCTTTGCCTCCTCTAATTAATGTGGCCACTACGCTGTCTGCGTGAGCTCTGGCTTCTTGCATCATGATTAAAAACTTGTCCTCAATCTCTGTCCTCAAACACACAACTCAGATGGTTGTGGGACTCACCTTATGAACTTCTTTCTTGGTGGGATGACATTCTTTCCTGTTTGGTGTTCCATATCTGCAACTGTCAGAAAACAGTTACTCTGTCTGTTTTGCAGTGTTCTGCCTGTTTATCTTGGGTGAATTAGGCTACAACACAAGTGACTCTGATTTGGACAGAAATGGAATTCTCCCACAAATATTTGTTGTGAACTTAATGTGAGGTTTTTGTGGAGAAATGGAATGAAAAGGTAATGGACTATTTTCTACAAACTTTTTGAAGCCCCCTCATGTATGTCATTTCAAGATTCAGGGGCTGTCTGAATCTATGAATGAAATGTGTGGGTTTCCTCTTAAACAAAAAATAAACTTACTGTGATCCATGAAATCTGTCATAGTGGATGAATCTTTTTTTTTTTTTTTTTTGCTTCTCTCCTGTTTTTTTTTTTTTTCTTCTTCCTTGAAGAAGCTTCCTCAATTGTTTCCAGTTTCCAAATGATTTTCTGATTTAGAATGAATTGGTTACGTAAAGTTCTAGGCATGAGGACATTGCCTTTTATGCGTCAAGGAAAAGCAGCTATTAAAAAGCTAGAGTATTACCCTGTTGTTAGTTGCTGTCAAGTTGGTTCTAAGGAGTGGCTGGTGAGCTTGAACCTCGGACCTTGCGGTTCAAATTGATCTTGCAATCCAGCACACTGACTTGCAGCGCCACACTTAGTGTCAGATAAAGCCAGGAACGCAAGTGAGTCTCCAAAGAACATCAACAGGCATATATTTTTTGATCATTGTAGTTAGTTTTATGGATAATAATTTGATATTTAGATCAGAGTCATCGCTTTGTAGCTTTTAAGGATTGACCCAGTGATTCAACATTGGCAATATGTTTTTGTTGCTAAGTGCCTTTGAGTTGATTCCTCCAACCCATAGCGACCCTGTATAGGGTTTCCAAAGAATTGCAGAATTGAGAAGAAGTAGTGCATGCTCCAAGGACCTCTGGTAGCGTAGTGGTTACAAATCGGGCTGCAAACCTCAAGGTTGGAAGTTCGAAACTACCAGCTGTTCCATGGGAGAAAGATGAGGCTTTCTGCTCCTGTAAAGATTTTCATCCTCAGAAACCCTGTACAGGGTTGCTATGAGTCGTAACCAACTCCATGGCATATAACAACAACAACAAGTGCATGCTCCGTTTAAATATATATTAATATGGACATCCCCATTTAGTATTTCTCTTCTCATGACCTCAGTTGGTAACAATGTGCTGAACTGCAAAGTTGCTTTGAACCACAAGGTCGGCAGTTAAAGCTCACCAGATGCTGCTTGGAAACCCTATACAGAGTCGCTATGGGTCAAACTGACTTCATGGCATTGAACTAACAACAAGCCATACTTGGAGTCTTGGTGGGGTGCTGTGGGTTAATACTCTGCACTGCAAGGTTGGTTTGAACCTCAAGGTCAGTGGTTCAAGTTCACCAGCCCCCTCCTCAGAAACCCTATACAGAGTTGTTATGAGTCAGAACCGACTGGATGGCACTTAACAAAAACAACAAGCCATAGGGTAGAGTCCAGGGGTGGCAATGTAAGATAAGTACTGGACTGCAAAATTGGTTTGAACCACAAGGTCAGTGGTTCAAACCTACCAGCCACTCCTTGGAAACCCTGTACACAGTTGCTATGAGTCGGAACCCAACTCAATGGCACTAACTTTAACAACACAGCCATAAAATAGGGATTACCTGGTTCTAGGCAATAGAAACATTTTTTTGGTTGTCAGTGTTTGTTCTAAACATTCTTTGAGCCCAAGGTTAAACATTTCGGGTTTTTCCTAACTTTCCAAACACACCCGTTTTCAACATGGCGCTTAAAAGAGATCACAGGGAAATGTTACTACACCTTTTGGGGAAGAGTTTTTTGTTCTCTTCCCCTCACCTTTGTTTTGGAAGCAACTGATCATTTCAGCATGGGGATTTCTTTCCAGGGCTCTGATGTCTTTGCCCAGCTTGAGTTTTCCATCGGTAGAGAGAGGCAGGCAGAAGAGTTAGGTGTGGAAGGTCTGTTTACTGGAACCCCATAGTGGAAATGCTTCAAGACATGGATGAAGTTCTTCTACTTGGTCAGGACAGTAGAAGACCGAGAGAGAAGCTTATAAGAAGGGCAGGGTGCTGTTGGCAGTTTACATATGCCATGGGAGGTTTGCTCTGTGACTGCAAGCTGACAGCCTTGGAAGAGTGTATGCCTGGAGCCCCTGGGTGGTCAGTGGAAAGGTTGGGAGTAGGTGTGTTCCCAGAGACGTCTCTAAGAAAGGCCTAGTGATCCTCCACTAAGTAAGCAGCCATTGCCAGCCCTATGGAAGGAACACAGCTCTGCTTTGACACACCGGGGTCACCACGAGTTGGAGTTGACTCACTAGCTTCTGTTCTCTTCTGTTCCCTTTTCTGTTCCCTTTTCTGTCGTCTTTGAGCAGTTTCATAGGATCTGTGGTTGGTTCCAGGATCTCCTAGGTGGGGCATGTGAATTTGTTCCTTCTGAGAATGTGTGCATCTCACTCTCTCTCTAGTGGTTCTGCGAGAGGCGCTGTGAAGACCTGGGTTTCCCCCGCGAGCTCTCCGTCCGGGAAGCACCTCCTGTGAAGTGAAAGAACTTGCTAGGCCAGATGATGCCTGTCGAGCTGGGGCAGGCCCTGGTCCTGCTGCCTCCACTGGCCAAGGCAGAGGACCGCCCATTCCCTGGACCGGATGCTGCTCCTCAAGGGGAGCTGTGTGCCCCCGAAACTGCCCGCCAGCTCTTTAGGCAGTTTCGATACCAGGTGAGGTCTGGACCCCACGAGACCCTGAGACAACTTCGGAAGCTCTGTTTCCAATGGCTGCAGCCAGAGCTTCACACCAAAGAGCAGATCCTAGAACTCCTGATGTTGGAGCAGTTCCTGAGCATCCTGCCCGGGGAGATCCAGATGTGGGTGCGCAAGCAGTGTCCAGGCAGCGGAGAGGAGGCCGTGACTCTAGTAGAGAGCTTGAAGGGAGACCCCCGGAGACTGTGGCAGTGGGTGAGCAGAGAATTTTACCATCTGGGGTCTCACGGGGCATCCCCATGCGTCACCTAATTCTTTCCTTTTTTTAAAAAAACCATTTTATTGTGAATTTATTGAAAGTTAACAGATAAGATCATCAGCTTTATATTCAACAAATTCCACCTTTTCTTTCATCTCAATGATTACAGTCCCCTTCCTGCAACAACAGTGATCTTACTTCTCTACCCTGTGGCTTCCCTTTTACATCTTATATTTCACAAATGAACAAAGCAAAAATACTTGATGTACACACACAAAACAACAAAGAGATATTCATTTAGATGTCCTTAGGGCACATTCTGCCAGCCAGCCTCCTGCCTGTAGGCACACAACCTTTCTCAGCCCATCGGCCTAAGTCCACAACTGCTCTCTTTCCATGACCTCGCCTCTGCCACTGTCTCTGCTGTTGCCGCTTTTCTGTCTAGGAGTTCATGCTCCACTCAAAGCTCTTCTTTCTGATGGTCTTGGGATCGTCCGTTCCTAAATGACAGATTAACTACTCCTTCCTTTTAGTTACACATCATTTACAATTACAGTTGTGACAATCATAATGAATCCTATTAACGGTTTACTCATAACTGACTCATAAAATCCTATCAGCACCCTCCCCCATCCCCTTTCACCAGCTCCCTCTGGAGAAGAGGCAAACTCTTCAGTGAGGATTCTACCTTCACCTGCTCATTCTGAAACTAAGCACACTCATGAAAGCTTGTAAGTCAGCTACTGTGTGCCTTTATAGCCCCCATTTTTGATCACCAGTGTCTAGATTGCCCACGGTGTGGCACTGTGGGTTAATGTGCCAGACTGTAAAGCTGTTTGAACTGCAAGGTCGGCAGTTCAAGCTCACCAGCTGTTCCTCGGAAATCCTATACAGGGTCGCTTTAGGTCGGAACCGACTGGACGGCACTTCACAACAACAGTCAGGATACTGCACTGGACCAGTTTGAGCTGCAAGGTCGGCAATTCAAACCCATCAGCTGCTCCTTGGAAACCCTATATAGGGTCGCTATGAGTCAGAACTGACTCTACCACATCAACCCAGTGTCCTGATGAAACAAGCTTGATTCTCTCTCTCTTTTTTTTTAATGTTTTATTACATGGGAATACATTAGTTTTACATTCATCCTATCATGTATCGTTTAATTGCCATGGTTACAGTTCCCTCCATGCATCATCAACCAACCAAAGGGTGTACCCTGCAAGCCTGCCCCTAAGTTGTGAGCACACAGCCCCTTTCCCTCTCTGGGTCTAAAGTCTCCAGCCGCTCCCTTTCCACGTAATCGTCTCTGTCTCCATCTCTGGTGTCACTGCTTCTCTGGGTAGGGTCCGCTTTCCGCTCTTCTCCCTTGATGGTCCCAGGGACCTCCGCTCCTAGACTCCAAAGTTAATGACTCCTCTCCTTGGCTACAGAATGTCTACCTTTACATTTCCAACCCTCACAAGCAGTCCTGATAACAATTATTCACTGTGGTATCACAAGAGACCCATCCGCATTTCATTTCATCAGCCACGCTTAGACAGACTGGATACTACGCTGGAGATTCTACCTTCCTCCACCCCCTCTGGATCTAGGTTCCCTATTGAAAGCTTGTAAGCCAGTCCCTTCTTGCCTTTGTAACCCCGCATTTTGGGTAGCCAATGTCCAAGTTGCCCATCCCTGTCTACTCTGTGTATGGAGGGAGTGGGAATGATCCTCACTGTAAAGATTTGTTCCCTCTTTTGAGCTACTGCATCCATAGATGTAGGTCAAGTTCATCAAATTGTATCAGATTACTCTTTTTTTCATCATATTTCTTCTAGTTGAGCTCTGATCATCCAGTCCTTGAAGCCAGGTCAAGTGGGTATTATCTGCATGTGTGGGTGTTCTTGTGCATATGTCCTCTCTTTTTATCAGCTGGATGCTTCACTCTCCACTCTAGTCGTCTGTGGCTATGTCACTGCCTCTGGGCCAAAAAGTCCACAGGTCTTGCCACACTGTTGGCCAACCAGGTCTCCACCCGGGTTCACAGGAGTCTTTTGAACGTTGTAGAGCTTACCTTAACCCGCTCATTCTGAAACTAATTTTCCCTTACTTCCCTTTATCGGTGATGAACGTGGTCACCAGTCAGAGCTTGTATTTCCATTGAGTCTTAGTTTGGAAGGGGGTTTACTCTTAGGGGACCCAACCACTTGCTGATGTCTCCTGGGCAAGCAACTTGCTTGTTCTTGTAGCAATCAGTTGGTCTGCCTGTATTGTTTTATATTTTTCCTGTCGGTCCTTCTTTCAAGAAGTATCTTCTGTTCTTCTAGCCGCTCCAGGCTGGTCTGCCTGTCCTTTCAAGTGGAAATTTCCCACCTCTGAAGATTCTGGATGCTGTTCAGGATTCCACCTATAGTCTTATGTAATGCAGAGGCTCTGCAGAAAGCCTCCTTCTCTGAGCATGTTGTAGCCCCATTTTAGGTATTCCAGTCAGTTATAGGCAGAAGACGGACTTACAACAAGTTTGAATTTTGATAGGAAGAACCCTTTCATACTGATTGAAATTTTGAACAACTGCATCCATTAGTAAAGGTCCAGTTCATCAAATTGTAGCAATTTCCACTTGCTCACAGTATTAAGCATCTTTATCTTCATCTGATGGAGTTCTGGTCTGCTAGCTTTCCAAGCTAGGTCAAATGGGTACTAGCTGCAAGTTTGGGAGTTCATGCACTCCTCCCAGCACTTCAGACCAGCTTTCTGCTTCACTCTTAACTTGAACCTCCAGTGGCTGGCTCTGTGCCCAAGGACTTGGGAGTACACATGTCTCCCTAAACTTCAGAGCAGTCAGCCCTTCCTCTTCTCTCTCTCATTGAGGTCAACGAGTGTCAATGAAACATGGCAAAACTCAGCCCACGTCTACATTGCTGCATTTCCCCCACTTCCAGTCACAAGTAGACCCAGGTGGTCACTAGCAAGCATACTAGACTATTTGCAGGTTCCCTTGAGTTTCAGACTTAGAAGGGGGTTTTCCCTGATGGACTGACTTTTCTTACCTTGATCACTCCAAAGCAAATAGCTTGGTTGATATTCTAGCAGGCAAACAGTCTGCTTTTTTCCTGCAGGTCTGTCTTTCAGTAAGATTCTTCCATTCTCCCAGCAGTTCTGGGCTGATCTGCTTTTCTTTTCAAGTGGGAATGTCCCAATTCTAAGACTGTGTGTGACTCTCAGGTCCCTGTGTACTGTAAACAGTAGCTTGACTAGTACCCTAAAGGTTACTGCCGGGATCCCAGCCCATAGTACCATGGGAGAAAGGCCCTATGATTGGCTTTTATAAAGGTTACAACTGAGAAAACCCTATGAAACAGTTTCACTCTGTAGCATATGAAATAATCATGAGTTGGAATGGACTTGTTGGCAGTAAGCTTGGTGTTTTGTCTTTTTTCCTATATGACTGTGAACACTTTTTAGCCACAGTGGGTTAAAGATAGGATTTCCAATCCTGTTCCATCTTTATACTAGTATCTTTTGAGTTTACTAAAATTGTTTTAATTGGTGGAAACTGTCCAACAAAAACACAGTGTTAGTGGTCCGTCCTGAAGGTCTTCCATGTCTGGTTCAGGCCTCTGCATTTGGCCTCTGGTGGGATATTTCCATCCCTGGTTCGTGTTGGGTAAGACAGAAAAATTGGTTTTCTTCTTCCCCAGTCTATGGGACTGTTTTATCGTGTGGTCTGTAAGGTTGGCCTCATATCTTTCAGAAATCCCAGCTCTGAATCCTTCCCTAACTCTTAGTGTCTGATCTCTAGATCAGCATCCACGTTCTAGGAGAGGAAATCTTATCAGAGAAGGTGGCATCTCCAAACTGCCATGTGGGAGAGGCAGAGCCCCATCTGGAAGTGGAGTCTCAAGCGTTGGGACTTCAGAATCCAGCCTCGGGGTCTGGGGAGCAAGTGAGCCGTGCTGTGAAGGAGGAATCTGATGTGGAGCAAGAACCAGGTGAGTGGCAGTGACTGCCCCTTGAGGTACGGGGGATTTCCTGGGAATGTTAGAGGTTGTTGTTGTGTGAGTTGAAAATGTTGTGGTCAGATTGAGGTGTCCCTGGAAAGTTTTGAAGCAGGGTGTATGTTGTCGTTACGTGCCATCGGGTTGTTTCCAAGTCATAGCAATCCTGTCTAGGGTTTCCACAGAGCAGCTGGTGGGTTTGAACTGCCAGCCTCGTGGTTCACAGTCTAGTGTTTATCCTGTGGCACCACAGCTCTCCATGAATCACTCTGATATAGTGATGGAAAGTGTGCATCTTAAACCATTTCATGAGTGTGGTAGACGATTTGGATTTTGGATGTGAGCAAGGAGGTGGGAGACAGTTTGGGTGAAACTGGGAGGGTGGAGCATGTTGGAGATTGTTGATGATGTAAGTACTACGGATGTGGAATGGGTGTCACTTCTCGTCTGTCAAGTGTCATTTGACCAGTTCCCCCTGGAGAGGAGCTGAGGAGACTTGTAGATTCCTAAGACGTCCCATCTCTCCCTGCAGTGAAGGCTGCTTCCCAGCTGCTTGCCCAACCTGAGGAAAGGCTTGTGGGAGACCAGGACTGCGGAGGCTCTCTTCTTGCAGCACCGTCTCAGGTGAGCTGGGCTCCCCTGCTTTCCTCATCCCTGAAGCAGTTTGGAGCATGTTTCAGTCGTCAGGAGGATTGGAAGTAGGGATGTGCTTTCTCCTGAGTGGAGTGGAGGAGGGGGGCTCCCTGGGGTCACAAGAACAATACACAGGGAAATGTTTGTGAGTTTCAGTATGTCTTGACGGTTCATTCAAGGCAGAATGTTGTTTTAACTGACATTTAAAGTAGTGAAATTTGGATATCTGAAGAAGACAGAGTTATGAAGCAACAAATCTTGTCTCCATACCACACGTGGCCATCTGTCCTGTGTCATCATCTTTGGGCTCCATTGAGAAATGACTGTATTTTATTTTCTAATCCAAACCAGTGAGATAGGAATCAGCTTTAGAGTTTGAACAGTTATATCTGAGAAAGTGATCTTTTTTCCTTCTCATTTTTATGAATGTGTAAATGACATGCAATACTCTCTATTTTTTATGGTTAGGGTGTACAGTTGGTAATTTTGGACCCGTGTATATGCACACTCATGAGACCATGACAATCATCAAGATGGTCAATGTCATGGTTTGAATTGTGTCCCCTCAAAATATGTGTCAAGTCAGATAACTGGTCCTGATTCCTGGATTGTATTGTTGTTTTGTGTTCTGTGATCTAATTATTTATCTTATGTTTTCTGGTGTGTTGTAAATACTAACCTCCATATGTTAATGAGGGAGAGTCACTCTGGGCTGATCTTAAATCACAGCTTTATCAAGGGCTCACACCCTTATTCACATCACACCCTTAATTTACTCATAGTCTGATTTAAGTCCCACCCTAATTTGAGTCACATCTTACATCTTATAAGGGATCAAAGGGGAAAGATGGGAGCTGGCATTGGCACTGTGGAATAAGCACTGGACTGTAGGTCAGTTTGAACCACAGGGTCGATGGTTAAAACTCAACAGCCGCTCCTCAGAAACCCTACACAGGGTCGCCGTGATTTGGAACTGACTTGAAGGCATTTAACAACAACCACAACCACAGGGTAGGGACTTCACCACAATCAAGAAAGAAAAGCTAGATGTGGAGTGCAGTTTTGTACCCAGAATCCCTGTGCTGAGGCCTTTGTAGACTTGGGAAGACTGATGCCAAGTCAAGTGGAGGTTTCCATAGACAGCCAGGCCCACAGATGTTGAGAGGAGAAAAGAACTTCCCCCTGAGCTGACAGAAAGCTTGCCCAGGAGCTGGCCCCCTGATTCTGACTTCTAGCCTCCCAGTCTCTGAGAGAGTAGCTTTCCTCTCTGTAAAAGTCCTTCACTTGTGATCATTGCTGTTAGAGCAGAACTGTTGTTCTGTGCCATGGAGTCAGTTCCTACTCCTAGCAACTGTATAGGGTTTCCAAGGAGCGGCTGGTGGGTTTGACATGCCGACCTTACAGTTAGCAGCCCACCCAGACTTTCATAACAGGACTTGTTGTTGTGATGTGCTGTGTACTCGGTTCTGACTCATAGTGACTGTGCACAGGGTTTCCGAGGTTGTAAATCTTTATGGGAGCAGAAAGCCTCATCTTTCTCCCACGGAACAGCTGGTCGTTTCGAACTGCTGACCCTCAGCTTAGCAGCCCGATTTGTAACTACTACGCTACCAGACTAGATAGCTGTAAAAACTGATGTAGCAGAAGAGTCTGACCATCTTTGACTTCACACAGTAAAGAGGACCTCCCTCCGCATCACCACAAGGCTGTAGAGTTGAGTCAGACAGACCGCCTTCCGATACCAGCTGTCCCTGACGTAGCACTGTCTACCTCCCTGCTGAGCTCACAGACAATTCTCATGGTTATGAGGGTTCTTGAGGACATGGCAGTTTACAGTTCATGATTAGAAATGACACAGGACCCACTCCTATGATCATCCATGCTCACAGGCAGGCGTCGCGATAGCCCTTGGCCTTCAGAATCTCAGCTCTTAAGTCTCTTGGACCAACCTGGCCTCTGCCCTGCCTGTTACAAAGTTACAAATATTACAAAGGCCTTTACCTCTGTCTGTAAGTGCCCAGAGCCACCCCACTCTGAAATAAGCCTCCACCTTTAAGGCACTTGGCTCTCTTGCTTCATGAGTTGGCAAACCCAACTTTTATCAGACACCTGGAAGCACCTTACTCCCCTGGCAAGTCTCCTGCCTGAAGCTCCTCAGTTCTCTCCCTCTGTGGTCCAGGATGCACTGTCTCCTGGTCTTTGGTTTCTGCTGCCACAGCTACTCTGTCAGAGCTTTCTCTCTGCTGTGGCTTCTCTTTGTCTGTTTCCTGGGTCTAGGAGGGTCCTGAGGCAGGGATCTGGGGTCCAAAGGACATGCCTTGTTCCCACCTGGCTCGTTTGAACACTAATCCCTTGTTTTAGAGTTCTGTGCACTTTATTTGCGTTGTCTCAGCCCGTAGAGTTCCATGCACCTTATTTGCATTATTAGCAAACCGTTCAATTCCCTTGGTGGGCCACTAACACTTTATTTGCATAGTCCCACTTTACCATTTAGTGAACATATTAAGACCTTGGGTGGAAAGGCCAGATAAAAGCGGTCTATTACACTGCAATAACTAAGGGAGAATTTGGAATTGTGTGCAGACTGGAAGAGTTTTAAGATGCCCAGTAGTAAAAGCCTAGATTGACTTGATGAGACTGTTGGCAGTTTTATGGACATTAAAGGAAATTCTGGTGAGGGATGAGAAGGAAGTGAAGAGAACTATAGAGGAAGTCTCTATTTTGTGAGAGAATACATATATTGTCTTAGAGAAATGTGGATGTTAAATGTGCTTTTGGTGAGGCTTTAAAAGCAAATGATGAGCATATGGTTGTATAATAGAGGAAGAGTGATGTCTCTTTCACTACAGCAAAGAATTTGTCTGAATTATGTTCAAATGTTTTATGGAAGGTAGAACTTGTAAGTTATGGACTTAGATATTTGGCTAATGAGATTTCTCATTAACATCTTAAAGGGGCTGTGCATGGTTTCCCCTTACCACTCATAGTAAAGTGTGAGAAGAAAGAGGTGGACGTAGAAAATGAATTGTTCTAAATGAAGACAACATTTAAAGATTTGGGACATTCTGTTGTACTAACTAAGGACACATATCTTAGAAATTTCAAACAAGGACGTGGCTATACAAATTTTTTGCTAAAGAGACTAAGTTTATGACCGACGGATCTAATCAGTGACCACAGCAGAAACCCCACCAGCTTAGACTGAAGGGGACAGAGAAAGAATGAAATACAGAATGATCAGCACTGGGCCTCAAACCACAAGGTTAGCAGTTCAAACCCACCAGTTGTTCCTTGGAAACTGTATACAGGGTCACTGTGAGTTGGACCCGACTGGACAGCACTTCACAACAACAAATCTGCCTTTTGGAATGAATGCTACAGGCAGCAAACAGGCTGAAGAAGCTACATCTGCTGTGTTCCAAGAAAAGAAGAGAATCATCCCTGGAGCGGCTCTCTGAGATCAGCAGAGCTGTTGGAAAGAGCTTCGGAAGCAGAACTGCGGTGGGCTCACAGAGCGGGACTGTGGCCTCTGGAGTTAAATGGCAGTGGGGCCAAGAGCTTCTGGATCTCAAAGGGAGGGGCAGCAGCCTCCTAGATTCCTGTCGGATTCTTGTCATCTTGGTGTGACGTGTGGGGCTTGTTAAAGTGTGCCAAGGGGAGGGGACCACCACCTAAAGCTTCTGGAGCTGAGGGGTGATGTTGCCACTCAGTTGGACTAGGAGAATGGGGCCACCCAAATCCGAGGAGCAGAGTTGCTGTCTTAGGGAACTAGAAGGTGGAGCTGAAATCTAGGGCTGAGAGACTTCTATCGAGAATCCAGAAAGCCTGGCTAACACTATAGAGTTTGACGGTGGGGCCCTTGCCCAGGTGGGCTCAGAGATTAGAGGATTATTGTCAAACCTTCGGTGCTGGTGAAATTGTTGTGCTGTATTTTGGACTTGTTTGGTGCCTATTCCATTTCCCTCCAGTTTGTTACAGAAATGTCTCCATTGTGCCTCTTCCACCATTGTACTTGGAAACAGATAACTTGCATTCTAGATTTGACAGGTTTACAGATGAAGAAGAATTTTGCACCAGGATGGGCTATGCTTAAAGTCTCACCCATAATCAATGTAGATGATTCAGAAAATGAGATTTTAGGTTAGAAGTTGATTTAAAACTTTTGATAACATATGATGGGGTGAAAGCATTTTACATGTGGCAAAATTGTGTCTCCCATGAAATTATGTGTCAACTTGGCTAGGCCATGATTTCCAGTGTTGTGTGGTTGTTATCCAGTTTGAGATCTGATGTCTTTGTCGTTCACTTTGTGATATGTTGTAAATTCTCATCTCTGTACGTCAATGAGGCAGAACCACTTGGTGGTTTGTATGTGACTCAAGTCACACCCTTACTCAAGTCACACCCTTACTCAAGTCACACCCTTACTCAGGTCACACCCTTACTCAGGTCACACCCTTACCCAAGTCACACCCTTACTCAAGTCACACCCTTACTCAAGTCACACCCTTACTCAGGTCATATCCTTGCTTGAGTCACACTTTTTATCTTGTTGTTATTAGGTGCCATCGAGTCTGTGCCGACCCATAGCCACCTTATACATAGCAGAACAAAACACTGCCCAATCTTGGGCCAACCTCACTACTGTTGCCACACTTGAGCCCATTGGTGCTGCCACTTGGCCAATCCATCTCGTTGGGGGTCTTCCTCTTTTTTCTGACCCTCCACCTTACCAAACATGATATCCTCCAGCGACTGGTCCCTCCTGACAATTAGTCCAAAGTATGAGAGACGAAGTTTGGCCATCCTGGCCTCCAAAGAGCACTCTGGCTGCACTTCTTCCAACATAAATCTGTTGGTTCTATGGGCAGCCCATGGCACTTTCAATATTCTTCTCCAGCACCATAACTCAAAAGCATCAATTCTTCTACGGTCTTCCTTATTTACTGTCCAACTTTCACATGCATATAAGGTTATTGAAAATACCATGG